ATAAAATTAATTCATTTTTTACTCAAAACTTAAAAATAAATCAAATAACTGTCATAATCTATATTATAATCTAATTCCAATTGCCCGTAGACATCAGCTATGGGTATGGTGTATAATAGCAGATTAATTACCGTTCCCTGGGGAACAGCCATTTTTTGAAATTATATTGTTAACTGTATTTATAAATCTGGTTTACTTGAACTGTTGCTAAACCATTGATAAAACTATGTGATAAAACCGATTCATAATAATCGCAATACATGTGATAATCGTGCGAAACCACAAACACTATTGACCCGCAAATACTATACAATAAGTTATTATCAATTTAAACATTACAAACGCTATGTTTTTCAAGTGAATTCAGTTTAGATTCTGTTATCAAAAACTGTTTATCCAAATCGAGAGAAAATCGGTGTTTCATAATGTTTGCGATACTTACAGTCATTCTTCTGAGTTATCAATACATCGTTTGCGAAGACATTTGTAACGTGATTAAGAGCTCCGACGAGATTCGTGTCTATAATCGGCACTTAACTGAAATACAAGACAATGGGATTCAGAATCAGCTTATAATGTACTCACAGACCAAAGAATGGGAGGTATGGCTGGACTCTAACAATAACATCGTTCACAGCAATAGTTTCGCTGATAAAAAGTCCGATATAAGCCAAATAAGAGACAGTTCCCTAGTCTTTAATCCCAACCTTAGTGGACAGCCAACAGATTCTGTATCAGTGAATATCGATCACCAAAATATTAATTGTCATACAGTTATCGTGTCGAGTCTGACATCATTTCTATAGGTCAAATATGTCCTAAATGGTGTCTTAAGCACCCCATTGGATTTTTCATAGTCGCTAATATTGTCATCATTTTCGAGTCCTGTATATGAAGACAAGTTTCACGATGACAATCATAAGTATTGTGTACTTCCTTACCGATCTAATGTTGGCGACCCCTGCACTCATCTTAAGCCACTGTTTGATTGCCCCAACTTCTGGGCCCAGTATCTGTGGTATGTGATTATCATAGTGATTGTGCTGGTAATGGTAACGCTGACTATATAGCCCCACTAACAGTATGAGACCGCGTTCAACACAGGTGCTCGCGGCAGGTGTAGCTCAGTTGACTGTAGTGTTAATGTCTGTTTGCGCTCAGTTAGCGACAGCCGGAGGTCAGTGAGCAGATGGCATCCCGTGAATCACGTGGTCAGCGCCGGTGGGCCCACCAGTACTATATCAGGCAAACCCGCGAGTTTACCATCAAATCCGTCCATATTTTCGGTCACTTCACACCGAAATGATAGACAAGACTCGGAGTAATACCACAAATATATATGCATTTCGTTTCCTAATATGTAATGTGTTTTATAAATTATTTTCGTCATTCAATTCATAGTATTTAATGAAATTTTTGTGTTAATTAGCACTTTATTGCAAGACTTTTATTATAAAATTTGCACTCAAATGATTTGTAAATAAAATTGGCAATGACTTTTTAACATTACTTTTACAAACTTTACAGAATCCATAACAATTGAGTTATAAAAACATATAGAATACAGAATTTCGTAGTTATATACTAAATCTAATTATAAGTGTTATACTAGTATTTAAAGGGAATGAGTTATGTGACATAACTTATGTCTAATTTAAAATAAAAATGTAAAATAATAAATTAATCAAATAGTTTTTCGATACTAATTTAAATTACTTTTATTAGCAAATATATCTCAAAAGTAAAATCTTACAAAATAAAATATAAATTAAATTCAAGCTCAATAAATGAGCAAAATGTTGCCTGATACAAGTTATTATACAGTACAATTATGGGTACAAATTGGTTAACAACTGTCCTTTTTGTGTCTAATTCCGTGCGAATCCTTTATTAGCATTATTTTGTCCACAATTTTCCCATTCTATGCATTCATATGATATAAAAATTACATAAAAATTAATTCACATTAAATCATGTCAAACAAGCACCTATAAAACGTACCTGATCATCAGATACCTGTTCCAGTGACAGGTGCGAGGCATTTATTATATGAAGTCTAGTGTATCCATAGTCTGATATACGGACCGCACTCCATTCGGGAGGGTTTTTCACAAACGAGTCGTGCCTTTCATTACACCCCTGTCCACACAAAACACATGAATACTTAAAATTAATAAACATTGATATTAATTACGGCTGAGCCGGTGATTATATGGACGGGCGCTGTGGGGTTGGTATACGGGTGCGATTGGGAGCCGTTATGGACAGTTAGGTTATATAAGGGCCACATTCGCTCGTAGACGTGCTCGTGGGCCCACACCTCTAAGTCCACCCCCGACTCGTAAAACAGGTCCTCCAAACCCAATGTGTGCACAATCGGTAGCCCTTTCCTGATCTGAAATTAATGAACACATTGAGTATCCAGGTAAAAATAAAATAGTCATATAAAAACTTACAATACTTTGTTTGTGAGTGCAGTCATCCCTTAAAATACAAAAGTTTTAGAGAATAAGTTTAGTTTTGTAAAGTTATATTCAGATAATTAGTAACTAGGTAAAAGTTTTGTTAATTAATTTATAAACCTGTCATCAGTGCTGCAATACATAGGCCGGTGGCCTAACGTTATGATCCACGGCCTCAGCGCCCGGTTCTCTGGTTTATTGGCCTCTTTGAGATCATTGATGAGCCAATAGTATTGGTATAACAACTGTTTCCATCCGTATTGCAGAAAGTAATAGAATTCAGTGGAGAATGAGATGACATGTGCCGGTCCTATGTTGAAGCTGTAGTAGTGATTATTCATGAGACCACTCCCGCTGTTAACCATTGAAAACCGATTGTCATAATTGGAGAAATTGCTGCGAAAAAGAGATTATTTTTAATAATTGTATAATAATATTGATTACAAATGTACTCACTATTTGTATTCATGATTACCCGGACACACCTGATAGGGAACATAGGCTGCAATGGACTCGATTTGTCTCATGAATTCGTCGCCGACTCTCGCGTTATCCTTAAGAAAAATATTTACCACTTATTAAGAGTTTTCTAATAATTAGGCATAACTTACAGAATCCATATCATAGGCAAAGTCACCTGAAAATACCAAATTATTTCATTAACTCTGAAATTGTTAAATAAATAACAAATGATTTTGCGAACCGATGTGGAAGACGGTGTCATAGAGTCCTCTCTGGACCTCCTCTTGTAATCTGGGGATCGACTGCGCGTTTTCATTACCCAAATCACCGAAAATGGCGATTCTTGGGCTCCAATCGCTGCCATTCCTCATAGCCGTGAACCTAAACATAGGACTCCAGCCATCAGTACTTCCGCAGTGATAGACTGGACGCAGATATTTGTGGTGAGAGTTCAATGATCAACACGTGGTGGACATACTGTAAGCGGTTCCCGGTGTGAGTTGTGTCAACACAACTCTATGAATATAAAGGATTCGCCTCTCATTCCCTCCATCAGTGAATTGAGTACTGAATCCAGTCATGGATTGAGACAATAATTTGATCCCAAACTCGACGGTCGATGCATTGGTGGCGTTGAATGTGGTCCATGTGATCACCATTTGTGTCGAATCGGCTTTCCATACATGAAATTATTGTATTTAATATTATTTAAAAGTTTAGACAACTTTTACACTTACCTCCATAAGATAGATGAACTTGCTCAGGTTGAGTTAATACTATCCCGTGTGCATACAATATTTCACATATAAAAATCACTAAAATTATTAATTTTGTAAACATTTTTAATTGAATTTAAATGTGATTTAAGTGAGGGCTGCCTTAAAGTAAAATAAACACAAATATTTGTTTCATATATTTTTGATTGTGACTTATTATCGTTGTGTTTATTTTTCTAAAGTTTATCACAGATTCACATGTCTTTTAAACAAATAATTTGACATTAGATTTATCATACATTTACATTGCTGTTTTGATATCCAGTAATATTTATCAAATACTGTACTGTATTCAAGTTTTAAGTTTAATTTTATCACATATCCATAATTAAGTTAGTAAAATGTGTATATGTTTTGTAACAAGTATTATATTAATATTAATAAACAAACTTTCATATTTAATTTATACAATTATTATTCAATTTCATGAATACAGTACTAGTAAAACAAATAAAGTTATGAATTATTCAACGATTGATACATTATTATGATAACATTTATCACTAATAACTTTTGATAACTTTTAACACTGAAAAGTCATTAAATTTTATCATATTAGTGATTTTCTGTTTAAATTCAATAATAATAACAACTGTCTAAACATAACACAATTAG